ACCTTTCGGTTTTACAACACTTTATAGCTATATTTCACTTTTAGTTTAAATCTGGCATGGCCTTTTCTCTCCACAAGAATAGCGGCTGTTCTGTCATGACACGATAAAAACAAATCACCATATCGAGGGGGCATATTGAGACCAATATAGTGATTATAGACGGGTTTTGGATTGATCGGATTTATTGGACTGTTTGGCACAGCACGTGGCTACACTTTATATTTCACTGTTACACCCACACTAGTAGCCACAGTCACGTCTTTATTGCCGTTGCTTGGTAACGGCTTTCAAGGGCGGAAGTTCCCCTTCCTCTGAGTTCTCGAACCATCCCCGCCCTCAGCTACTAGTTTCTAACAGCAACAGCTCACTACGATTAAAACCTAGCTGTTCTAGCACTAACTCAACATCTCATTCACTGGAACAACTAACTGGCCCTGCTTATAACATCTCGGCACGGACAGGGTAGAAAACGTCTCTTCCATTATTTTTAGATTCTTTTGTTTCCGTGGAAACATGCTTGTTTGAGGAACAGTCGGATCGCAACAGCTGTTGTATAGTTGCTTATTTCGCAATCGTGGCTTTTAAACGTGTCTATACGCCGCAGTACGAGGAGTTGTGCGAATTCTTAGCCTCAACACTTGATATTGTTCAGGCGTTACATCCGCTTTCGAGGTGCTTCAATGCAGAGCACATAACGCATTGAGAGAACACATTTGGGCCCCGAACAATTCTGTTAACTAGTAGTGACGGAGTTGTTTTTCTTCCTATGTCGGGAATAGTTATCTACACTGACCACGTGGTCTGGAGTCGGACTAAGTTTCCCTGTTCACGTCACGATTCGTTTTACGTGGAAATAACTTGTGGCATTTCCCCTAGTACAATTGCAACTGTTACAACATCGTCACACCCCGATCGCCAGAACGGAGTACGTCGCCTGAATTTTATATGTAATAAAGCAGGAATGGCTGAATATTACAGGTCCTCATCTTTGCACTGCTCGTGTCACTCGACCCCAACGACGTTCTCCTGCATGCAATTGGGTATGAATACTCAAAATTATATTCATCATGAATTTAATATGAATTCCTAAGATCGTAGAATGTAATTGCTGATAAAAAGGCAGAACTCGTGTTTAGTCAGCTGAATAAAGGGACAAGAGAAAGTAAAAACTTCATTGTATGTTCGAGTAACTTAAGATTTAATAACCAAACCTATTTTCCATAAAAGTCTTGACTTTTGAATTCACAGTTAATGTAATAAGTATATCGCGACACATTTGAAATAATTATAAAATACGAAGACACGCAAGAATATATTCATAAAAGTTTGTAATAAATAAATAATATAAAATCTGGTAGGTGTGTACAAGCTTCAGGATATTCAAGGTAGAATTAAATTTACCCTCAAAATGCTGATATTTTTTCTTCCATAGCGCTGTTACCCCTCTATCCNGCACAACAGTATGAAAACACAAATGACTAGAATATGAATTTTCACAGCTGCGGAAACATATAACCGAATACGTGATTACATTTAAAATAAATTGAAATATTACGTTATCATCAACATAAGTAATTAAATGGATTAATCCTGCTTCTCTTGGCTAAAATCTTGGAAGGCTAACTTACTTCTTAGTGGGTCATCTTTGGCCATAAGTTATTGAGAAGAAGCAAACCGAGATTCGATATTTATTGAGCAGTTTGTACTAGGAACGAAACTATTAAAAACACGACATAATAATAAATTGATTAGAACAATATTGAACCGAAAACTAAATAAGAGGCTACAAAATGATAAATTCAACAGACGCAAAGGCGTGCCCTCCAGTCTGGAGCAGGCAACATCCATTCCTGTTCCATCAGGTATAGTAGCTGTCGTTGAAAATGTTCTTTCTAGTTTTCTTTAAATTCCAGTAATGCACCCACAATTAAGATTATTTTGTGTGTAAGAAGAATGTAGTCTGATGGTTGCTAACGTTTCGGAGGAACCTACTTCCTCCATCGCCAGGATAAAATAGTTCTACCTATATATTCGGTACCTCTTAGACAAGATGATTTCGAATGCTACGTTTTGGACATTCACCACAGAAATTCCCTAGATCTCATTTTATTTCACTCTCTGCATTAAATTGACTTAATTTCTGTGGGGTGACTCTGCGACGTCTTGTAGAGTATAGGCAAAAGTGACTAATTATATACTTCACTGACTCTGTGGTTATAGACCTTGAGGTTCATCACCGTTCGCGACTAATGCTAAGCCTGCTAATGGACACGAACCAGGATTAATTTCTTCCACATCCCATCCTCACTTCCTTAGCACCATTTTTTGTTTCCTTGGCACTACAGCCCCGGTGGGTCTAGGCCTACCTCCGTGAACTTCTCGGCTCACTTCAGTTTTTCTAGATCTTACACATTCGGTAGGACTCCTTGGGCGGGTGATCAGCTCGTCGCAAGGCCTCTACCTGTAAACAAACACAGAAAAACGCAGACACACAAATTAAACGTCCATGCCCTGAGTGGGATTCGAACCCACGATCCCGGTTTGCAAGCGAGAGAAGACAGTACATGCCTTAGACCGCTCGGCTACCCTGACCGGCTTAGCACCATTTC